CTGCTTGGCATGGAGAAGGTCCCAGGTTCAGTCCCTGGCATCTCCAGTTGAAAGGACCAGGCAGGAGGGGATGAGGAAGACCTTGACCTGAGACCCTGGCTCAGTGGCAGAGCCTCTGCTTGGCATGGAGAAGGTCCCAGGTTCAGTCCCTGGCATCTCCAGTTGAAAGGACCATGCAGGAGGGGATGAGGAAGACCTTGACCTGAGACCCTGGCTCAGTGGCAGAGCCTCTGCTTGGCATGCAGAAGGTCCCAGGTTCAATCCCCGGCATCCCCAGTTAGAAGGACCAAGCAGGAGGGGATGGGAAAGACCTTGACCTGAGACCCTGGCTCAGTGGCAGAGCCTCTGCTTGGCATGCAGGAGGTCCCAGGTTCAATCCCCGGCATCCCCAGTTAGAAGGACCAAGCAGGAGGGGATGGGAAAGACCTTGACCTGAGACCCTGGCTCAGTGGCAGAGCCTCTGCTTGGCATGCAGGAGGTCCCAGGTTCAATCCCCGGCATCTCCAGTTAGAAGGACCAGGCAGGAGGGGATGGGAAAGACCTTGACCTGAGACCCTGGCTCAGTGGCAGAGCCTCTGCTTGGCATGCAGGAGGTCCCAGGTCCGATCTCCGGCATCTCCAGTTAGAAGGACCAGGCAGGAGGGGATGGGAAAGACCTTGACCTGAGACCCTGGCTCAGTGGCAGAGCCTCTGCTTGGCATGCAGGAGGTCCCAGGTTCAATCTCTGACAGCATCTCCAGTTAGAAGGACCAGGCAGGAGGGGATGGGAAAGACCTTGACCTGAGACCCTGGCTCAGTGGCAGAGCCTCTGCTTGACATGTAGAAGGTCCCAGGCTCAATCCCCGGCATCTCCATACTTCTAACATCTACTGTTCAGGAGAACTGTAGGCTGTCCCTGCATTGGGGACAGGCCATAGCTCAGTGGCAGAGCCTCTGCTTGGCATGCAGAAAGTCCCAGGTTCAATCCAGGCAGGAGGTGATGGTTTTTTAGCCTCCAGCTCTCAAATTTCTGTGTTAGGTCAGGAAGGATGTGGCTCCAGATCAAACTGATTCATGAAGCAGCCAAATTGCTTGCTCACAACTCTTAGTGCCAGCAGTTCACAGGACTCCGCAGCTTAGAGGGAGCATTGCTGGCAAGTTGTGTAGAGGTGTGTGTTGTACTTTGTGGTACGGATCGCTGGGGACCGATGCTCCCTCTAAGCTGTGGGGTCTTATGAGCAAAAATTCTACTTCGTGAGCTTACTGGCAGTAAAGTTGTGAGCGAGCAGTTTGGCCCCTGCATAAATTAGCCTGCTCTGGAGCCCTCCTTCCTGAGCGAAGACAAAAAAATGTGTGAGCCAGAGGCTAAAAAACTGTGTACTGGCTCACACTGACTCAGCTTAGAGGGAACACTGCCTGTGAGGTAGGTGGGGCTGAGTGCGCTCTCTCAAGAACTGCCCTTGAGAAAATAGCTCTGAGAGAACTTGTGACTGACCCAAGGTCACACCAGCCGCCGATGCTCCTTCTAAGCTGTGGTGTCTTGTGAGCAAGAATTCTACTTCGTGAGCTCCTGGCATTAAAGTTGTGAGTGATGAGTGAGCAGTTTGCCCACTGCGTAAATTAGTTTGCTCTGGAGCCCATCCTTCCCGAGCTCAGACAAAAAAATGTGTGAGCCAGAGGCTAACAAACTGTGAGCTGGCTCACACTAACTCAGCTTAGAGGGAACACTGCTGGGGACATAGATTTGTTTTTCACCTGTGGGAAAGGAAGGGTATGACGGTGGGGGACACGGCTGTCCAATCAGGGCCAACCTATGGAAACCCTGTAGGGTTTCCAAGGAAAGGGACATTCAGAGATGGTTGGCCATTACCTGCCTCCACCTGGCAATTCTGGTCTCCCATCCAAGCAGGGCTTTTTTTGTAGAAAAAGCCCAGCAGGAACTCATTAGCATAATAGGCCACACCCAACAGCAGGAACTCATTAGCATATTAGGCCACACCCCCATGCCTTCCCTTGGCTTTGCCCGGCGCGCCCCTCCTTCGGGGGGCACCTCCCACGGCCGGGAAGGAGTAGGCAGGGGTTGCAAAAGGCCGGGGGGCTTCCCCCCCCGTGATTTAGTCAAAGCGCAAGTGTGGCAAGTCCGTACAAATTCCAATAAGTCCTTGCGCCTGACGGTGGGCACCCCTGGGGGGGAGATGCGGGGTTGGGCTGGAGGGCGAACCCCGTGCCTGCCTGCCTGCCTGGGAGCCCCGTAAACAGAGAGACCTGGGGCTGTAGGCGGGGAGGAATCTTTTTTTGGGGGGGGTAGAGTTTTAAGGGTGCAATCAAGAGATCAGTCCTGATCCTCTTGAAAAATCCCAAGTGAAGTGGGAGAGGAAAGAGAAGAAGAGGAAGAGGAGGAGATTGGATTTATACCCCACCCTTCACTACCCGAAGGTGTCTCAGAGCGGCTCACAATCTCCTTTCCCTTCCCCTCCCCACAACAGACACGCTGTGAGGCAGGTGGGGTTTCCAAGGAAAGAGGCATTCAGAGATGGTTGGCCATTACCTGCCTCCACCTGGCAATTCTGGACTCCCTTGGTGGTCTCCCACCTAAATAATCACCAGGGCCAACCCTGCTTAGCTTCCAAGATCTGATGAGATCAAGCTAGCCTGGGCTATCCAGGGCAGGGCTAAGGAGAGGCACGGGAATTGGTATATTATAGAACGGTGGGTGAGTTTTGACAGTCCTTCCCTGTTCCTCCCAGTTAATCCGGACGCTGGAGGCCCAGCCGACATTCTCGCAGCGGGATCGGTGTCACGCGGCCTCGCTGCTCTCTCTGGCCCTTCATGGGCGCCTGGAGTACCTGACGGACATCATGCAGACCCTGCTGAGCGATCTCGTCGCCCACTGCGTCGCCCGCAATCCGAAGCTCATGCTTCGCAGGTGGGTCCCCAAGCATTTGCGTGGAACCCGGCCGTCGGCGTGGAACTGCTCCCATTTTGTGAACAAAGTTCCGTGGAGCTGGTGTTTGGTTCAGCCTCCAAGATGTGGTTACACCCCCTTGTGGAGAGCAGGTGCCCACGTACTTGGTGGAGGCATCCAGAATAGGTCTGACTGCTGCCCCAAATCGTACCCTTTTGGCCAGAGTTGATCCTCTTGGCTGGTTGCAAGAATGAGAGGACATAATGTATGGCATGATATTTTTGCTGTTATCATGTGTACTTCCACAATGAGGGGCTGTGGTTCAGTAGTGAAGCCTCCGCTTGACATGCAGAAGGTCCCAAGTTCAATCCCTGGCATCTCCATTTAAAAGGACCAGGCAGTAGGGGATGGGAAAGACCTTGACCCGAGACCCTGACTCAGTGGCAGAGCATCTGCTTGGCATGCAGAAGGTCCCAGGTTCAATCCCCGGCATCTCCAGTTAAAAGGACCAGGCAGGAGGTGATGGGAAAGACCTTGACCTGAGACCCTGGCTCAGCGGCAGAGCCTCTGCTTGGCCTGCAGAAGGTCCCAGGTTCAAGCCCCGACCTTTCCAGTTAAAAGGACCAGGCAGTGGGTGATGATCAGCAAATCTCTCTGCCATCTCGTTTAGATTCCTTGCTTCTCAACGGAAGCGCTGTGTCCTTAATCACTTTATAAGCGCTCACACAGTTTGTTCCCCCGATGGGAAAAGATCCCTTGGCACTTAGTCTCAGGCACCTAAAATGTCTCATTCCAAAGCGGGCATCTCGTGTCTGTTCAGCGATGCCCCGAAACCGAAGATTGCAGTCCTCAAATTACACAGGAGCAGCTGCTGGTAGCAATATTTAGCACGAGGAAGGATGGGGAAATGGCTTCAAAGTGTTTTTCTCGGCCCTGTGCCCGTTCTGCAGGACGGAGACCATGGTGGAGAAGCTCCTGACCAACTGGATGTCCATCTGCCTCTACTCCTATCTCAGGGTAAGCTTTTCTTTTTGTGGCCTGCCTGGGTTGTACGGTCCAGCTCGAAGGCGGGAGAAGAAGAAGAAGAAGAGGTTGGATTTATAGCCCGCCCTTCACTCCCCAAAGGTGTCTCAGAGCGGCTTACAAACTCCTTTCCCTTCCCCTCCCCACAACAGATACCCTGAGAGACTGAGAGTTCCTATCTATACCTTGTGGCTCATGGCCACTGATGGACCTCTGCTCCATATGCTTAACCAATTCCCTTGTGAAGCCGTCCGTGGTTGTAGTTGCCGCCACCTCCTGTGGCAGTGAATTCCACATGTTCATCACTCTTTGGGTGAAGAAGGACTTCCTTTTATCCGTTCTAACCCGACCACTAGACAATTTCATGGCGTGCCCACCAGTTCTTGTGTCGTGAGAAAGGGAGAAAAGTATGTAATTTTGCATCATTTAATGTATTGTGTTAAGACTTAGGCTTTGCCTCAGTTATGTTTTTAGACCTCTGGCTGGACCTACAGTCCTGCATTGTTCACTGATTGTATCGACTCACTCTGTGTAATTTGACCTGAGTCCAAGTGAGCAAGATGGATTACAAATAATGTAAATAAAGTATTTGCTAAGGTTATAACCTTGACTTGTTGTTTAGCTCTGACTTTGCATAGCTTAAACATCATCATGTGACATGTTAATTTGCCGTTCAGCCCCTGGCTGCTGGCATTAAAGCTGTGAGCGAGCGATTTGGCTTCTGCGTAAATTAGTTTGCTCTGGAGCCATCCAGAGCCATCCTATAATAGCATTGGAAAAAGTCCAGAAAAGGGCAACTAGAATGATAAAAAGGTTGAAACATTTTCCCTATGAAGAAAAGTTGAAGCGCTTGGGGCTCTTTAGCTTGGAGAAACGCCGGTTGAGCGGCGACATGATCAAGGTTTACAAGATTATGCATGGGATAGAGCAGGTCGAGAAAGAGGTACTTTTCTCCCTTTCTCACAAGACAAGAACTCATGGGCCCTCAATGAAACTGCTGAGCAGTCGGGTTAGACCGAATAAAAGGAAGTCCTTCTTCACCCAAAGAGTGATCAACACATGGAATTCGCTGCCGCAGGAGGTGGTGGCAGCTACAAGCATGGACAGCTTCAAGAGGTAATTGGATAAACATGTGGTCTGAGACAAGGGATGCTCTGTATTCTTGGTTCTTGGGGGGGAGGGGGCAACAGTGGGAGGGCTTCTAGTGTCCTGGCCCCACTGCTGGACCTCGTGAGGGCACCTGGTATTTCTGGTCACTGTGTGACACAGAGTGTTGAACTGAACGGGCCATTGGTCTGATCCAACATTAGCTTCTCTGATGTTTTTATA